GGTCCTGGGAGCTGCCCGCCTCTTCAGCCTTCTCGGGCTGCCGGAGCCCAGCGGCCCGAAATCGCCTGCGGAGAGGCGTACTCCATGTTTCTTGGTGCCTGGAAACTCTCCCCGAGTAGTACTTCTGTGCGTTTTCTCAACTTGAAACATAACGCTGGTGTCGGAGGAGTCCGGGGTTAGTACAGAAACAGCCGCAGATCACACGGGGCTGTTTGCAGTTTGTTTTTCAGGTGGAAAGTATCGGGCGCTCGGAGGGTGGTTCGGTTAGGGCTGTACGCGGGACGAGTGGAAGGAGCCAGGGGGAATTCACCGCGCGGCGAGCAAAGAGGGAGCCGCCGCGGGAGCCTGCCCGGCGAGAGCCGCTGCCTTCCCGCGGGCTCCTGCCTAGCGGTTTCCGCAGGGCGTAAAGCTAGGGAGCCGGGGTAAAATGCGTGAAGGGCCTCCTGCAGTAAGCGCTCGTAAGTAGGATATTTTCTCGTTTTGCTGTTGCAGGGGGATGGCTAGAGGGGACTTTCGTGTTTAACCTTGCTAGCGCTGGAGGGAGAACAAAGATAAACTCGGGTTTGAAAAGAAATGCATGGGAAGAGGAGAAAAAAAGACACGTGAATTTAACTTACCCTCCGAGTCCTCCCTGCCAGTTTTTGTGATTCATGGTTTTAAATACAGGAAGGTTACTGTTTGGTCTTTTTCCTTTTCTGATGGAAAGAGGATTTTTTTTCTTCTTCCTGGTACTATATGAAAGTCCCAGGAGTAATGAGTAGCTCTGTGGTTATCTGATAGACACTGTAAGGTCTCTGCCTAGCGTGCTGTCAAATGCTAGCAAAAGACCAAGTCTGTCTGATATGGCATTTGCAAGACCCTTATCATGTGTTTAGTGAGCTAAAATGATTTTTTTTTTTTTTTACAAAAGTAACACAAAAAAGCTTTCTGGGAGAGAGGTGGCCTTAAAGTTGAGCATTTCCCTTATTTTTCCTGTGTACAGCTACCCGGCATCACCATCTCTCTGCATAGGTATATATAGATATATAGTAATTTGTAATGTCTGGAAAAGTTCCTATAAATATCTTATCAAGAAATGCCTGAGCGCTGAGAGCAAGCAATATCAAACGGGTGAAAGCAAACAATAAAACACCCTCCTGCGCTGGGCCGGCTCTCTCCTTAGCTGCCCCGAGGTTGCTGTGCCCTGCGTGGTGGTGTCCCCGCGGCAGCGGCGCAGGTTGCCGGTGGCGCTGGGCGCCGCAGGGCCTGTGCCCGATCTGTGCTTGCTCTGTGCAGCCGGCGCTGGCGTGTCAGCTGCCCCGTGCCTCGGTTTCCCCATGTCGCCACCTTCTCTAGTGTCACTCTGGGCTCAGCCGCTCTGCCGCATGGCGCCAAAGCCTGTGTCCCCTGTGCTGCGGTGGGACACGAGGGTGGATTTGCCTCCCGCTCCTTTGCGCCCTGTGGGATGCGGGGCTGGATTTGCCTCCCGCTCCTTTGCGCCCTGTGGGATGCGGGGCTGGATTTGCCTCCCGCTCCTTTGCACCCTCGGGGATGCGGGGCTGGATTTGCCTCCCGCTCCTTTGCACCCTGTGGGATGCGGGGCTGGATTTGCTTCCTGCTCCTTTGCACCCTGTGGGATGCGGGGCTGGATTTGTCTCCCGCTCCTTTGCACCCTGCGGGATGCAGGGTTGGATTTGCCCCCTGCTCCTTTGCACCCTGTGGGGTGCGGGGCTGGATTTGCTTCCTGCTGCTTTGCACCCTGCAGGATATGGGGTTGGATTTGCCCCCTGCTCCTTTGCGCCCTGTGGGATGTGGGGTTGGATTTGCCTCCTGCTCCTTTGTGCCCTGTGGGATGCAGGGCTGGATTTGCCCGCTGCTCCTTCGTGCCCCATGGGAAGGCCCCTCCTGTCTCCTGCATATCCATCCTCTTCCTCCATCCTGGCATGTGGCACTCCCTGTTGCTTCCCTTTTTTTGTTCTTTGAGTTTTTTTTGGAAAACTGCTGGAAGAGGACCATTCCAACCTAAAAAGCAAGTGTTGCCCCTCAGGAGGTGTCAAGGCAGCTCTGGAGAAAACCTATGGATTTCCAAAGGGTGTAATTTGTTTTTCGTTTGTGCTTAGGCACTCTGCCTGAAGCAGAGGCTGTCAAAGAGGATAGAGGCAATTTGTCGTAGCCCAGCATATCAACGCTGGTCATCAGGGAGAAAACCCACCTCCAGCATGCCTCCTCCAAGGAGAGGTCAAGGCCTAGAGACAGCTCCCGTGCTACTTGCAAGAGGGCCTCTGCAAGGAAGCTCCACCACAAAATTAAGGGCATCGCATTTATTCAGAAACTGTCCACAAAAGCCTGTTGGTAGCGTGTCGGTGAGGCGAGTGTGGCCTCCCCCACTGGGTCTGTAGCGGATCCGAGGAGGGTGAGCAATGCCTTCTCCGGGGCATCAGGCTAGGTGGAGGTCCGCAGCGCTGCGCAGGGAGCAAGGCAGCGGAGGCTTGGGAAGCAAGAGGCATCTGCAATGTCTGGATTTCTCAGGAGTTTTTTTACCATAGTATCTGAGAGCAAGTCAGTGCAAAACTGGCTAGAGGTATCGGTTGGCTCTGTAAAAATCCCAGGACTGGAATGTTTTAATGTTTTATTCCATCCTGTTGATTCCAAGTAAAATTTACTCAGTTAAAAATGTTTATTTCCTAGCTGCCAGTCTGGCAAATCCAGCCTGATTTTTGCAAGCTTTTGAATTTCAGGCCTCGCCAGTCACTTCTTGTTTAACCCACTCTAGTCGCGTTGCCTTCCAACGGGGCCGCGAAGGTGCGGGGACGGGCGGCTTTACGCGTGTGGAGGCTAATGGGGTGGAGGAGGCAGCAGCAGGGCTGAAGGGTTTATTCCTAGATAGGATGGATGGGAAGAAAAGTGCTCTTTTGCTTACGAACGCTGCAAATTTGATTAGGGAAACAAAAGGCTGATGGCCCACAGTGCCTTTTTTAACACAGATGTATTTTAGTGTATAACTCCCTTTAAAGACCAGATCTGGTAAAACATTACTCCAGCGTTAAGGTGGGCGTACGTGCTTTTTGCAGCCCCCTTGGACTGGAGAGCATTAGGAAAATGGCTGAATACTTGTGTTTTCACACAGCGACTATCTATTAATGTAATAGTCCCAGTGGAAACTTTAGTGCTCAGGAATATTTTGTGGATTTGGGAAAATCCCAGGAGGATTTTGGCTTCGTACAGCAATTTCTTTTTGGCAGCTTTGGGATGGATATAATCTGGTTCCCATTTGTGCCCTGAATTTTTACATAGATTGTCCTTCCTTCTGCGCAGACCAGAAATAGAAACGGACAGAAATAAATAGAAAAAGATAGTAATGATAACAGCAAAGATAACATCATCTTTCTTTACAAACAAATCCTTAGGGAAACTCGTCTTTTGAAATGTCAGGCATTTATGAAGTATATCACTCTTTTGCCTTTTAAGTGACTTTTCCAGTGTGTAAGATTCTGCTTTGAATTCTCTGGGTGTAAATCTGGAGTAAATCTGCGGAAGTCAGTGAAATAATTCCAGATTCGCACCAGTGCATCGGAGAGCGGCGCTTCGTCTCCCAGTAGAGCCTATCCGACAAAGACCCGAGTGCCTCGCTGAAACGTTAGCAGACGCTGCAGTACTTACAGGCGTGTTTGCTTGTCACCTATTTTTCAGTTGACTTGTCTGAGTCATGCCTAACGCCAAGTGTGTCGTAGCTGCACCAACATGTCTTTCCTGGCCCGGGGGTGGATACCGTATCTTGAAATTGGAGCGCCTTCTTATTAGCTGGGGCAGCCGATGACATCTGGTCTGACCCTCGGCAGCCTCTTTTGGAAGAGCTGGGTGATCTTGCACCTTTCGTAGGACGCAACGTTTGGGGAAGACGTAGCGTGGGATTACGTGCAGCTGAGCAACTCCTTGGAGTATCTGTTTTGACTGTGTCCTCTATCACAAGTACAAACGTGCTTCAGCTAACAGTAATTCCAGGTACCAAGGCTCCGGTTAGAAATTAATGAAAGTGGGTGCTTTTAGTGAACTTCACTCTGCGTTTAAGCTGACCTCAAACAAGTCGTTAAGAAACCGTTACTCGTCTGCCTTCCACGCTCCGTTTTGTGTGCTGTTAACGCATACTCAAGTAAAATCTCGGACCGAAGGCTTTCGTTTCGTGCAGGGTGGAGAAGGGCAGACCTGGCAGTCCTGCGCGCGGCGCTGTGGACCGATACTACGGATGCTCGGCAGTGTCCAGAGCAAGGTGGTTCACGCTCCCCGCCTGCTGCGATGTGTCCCACCACCACCGGCGGCGGCTGTAGCGTTGGGGGCGTTTTCCAGTCCCGTGGGAGCCGATGGGTACCTGACGTCAGCAGTTACAGTGATTTTTTCCCTGTTTTAACTCTGCCCTCTGCCATTTGGGAAGAGGAAGTGAGACCGATTATCCTGGTAGCACTTCTGCGTGTAATACCTTTAATAAAGGTCTGCGTTTTCAAAGAGGCTGCATATAAATTGCGTGTAATGATTTAACAATAGAAAGTTCATAATTTTAATGTATTTTCTGGGGAAGAAGGTTTACGGTTCTTTTTCCTTCAGATGTGGCATTGAAGCTAATGATAACGTGCAGGCTCTGCTTAGCGTAGGGTCATCACAAGGAGCGCTTAACGTTGATAAAAGACAGCACTGTCGCTCTTAGTGTGTGGTTTGTTGACGCTATTAAAAAAAAGGAGAAAAAATCCAGAAATGTGAAGGAAGATATATAAGATAGAGTTCAATGCTTGCATTTTGAGTTAAAAAATACTGCACAGTCTTTGTACTATTTTTGTTCTGTCCTTGTCCCAGACTCCTTTGTACGCTTGCAAGTTTGTGGGAATGACTCAGGGAGAAAGCTATTTAACCTAAAGGACATCACTGGCAAAAAAACACATGGATAAAGAGCAGTGGCAGGGACTGTGAGCGGGAAACTAGGAGAACATTTGTGTGCATCAGAGGAATAAGATTCTGAAACAGCCTCCCAAAGGGAGGAACTGGGGCAAAAAAATCCTATTTTTAAGATGCAGTATAGTCAGTTCAAGAAGGCAATTTTATAATATGGTTGCTTGAAATAACAAGGAACTAGGCTTAATGATCCGCAGAGTCCTTGCAGACTTAGGTCCTGTTTCACTCCTCTGTTTAATTAATGGAAGAGCTTAA